GATACAGGTTAAAGGTTAGTAAATACTTGTAAATGCTTTGTTGCTTATGTCCTTAATTTTAAAAAAATTCTTCAATTTACCGTCTTTTATTTGTTGTGAATGAACTTTTAAAGAAGGAGAATCAAATATAAGTAAGGGTATACAACATCAAAAAACAGCCCTAATGTAAACTATGGACTTTGGGTGATTATGATGAGTCAAGGTACAGTCATCAATTTTAACAAATGCACTGTACTACTGTGGTGGAGGATGGTATAACAGGGGAGGTTATGCATGTGTAGATGCAGGGTTACATGGGAAAAAGATCTCTGTACCTTCAACTTAATTTTGCTGTGAACCTACAAGTGCTCTTGACAAAAGTCTGTAAAAAGTGAGAAGGTTGAGTTAACTCAGTAGTACAGCACATGCTCAGTATATGCAAAGGTCTGGTTTCAATCCCAACCCAACACACACACACAAATAAAAAGAGACAAAGAAAGAAATATGTAAAAACACAATAATAACTACATGTCTTAAATATGTACCTAATAAACGTCTGGAGTATAAGAATACAACGAACTTTTAAAATTTAAACACAGTATACAACAAGAGTATGTAAAATGTGTCATCACTTGAAATTCCAAAGTATTCAGTATCTTTAGAGCTACATTAAAGTCTTATAAAATGCTGATTTAAAATCTTTACATGTAATTTTATGACTGAATAGTTCTAAAGTATTCAGTCTGTGATTCTTCTATATTGATAGACTCTGGATTTTCAGAATATTGAAATACATAACTTATTATACAAATGAGTTATAAATGTTTATGATCACATTGTTTTCAAGATTTCTATTTTAAATTTTCTTTAATTGGGAGCTCTGTGGAATTGTCTGCATGCCTGACAGCCTGGGTTCAAACCCTGATTAAAAAAATTATATAATTCTGTCATTTTAAACAGCCCTGAAAATAACAAAAACCACATACATTCTGCATGTGAGAAATGTTATGCTAAACTATAATGATAGTGAATGTGGCTTATTTATTACCCATGAAATATTATGAAAAGCTCTTAAACATGAATACACTGAAATAAATTTGTCTTCATAAATTGTATAATTAACACTGAAAATACACAGACATGCACTCTATGTTAGATAAATTGTTTAAACTGTAATTCTTAAAACTGCCATCTGAGTCAAATAATCAAATAAACATAAGACATATAAAATCTTTGTAATATGGATATTTGTGTTATCCATTAAGATGAAAATATAAATAAGAAATAAAGTAATAAGAAAATACCAATATATGAAAAGTGATGATTTCAAAATCAAATTCAAGAGTATTTAAGTCTACCATGTAATGGTAGTTTCATTGCAGTCATTTCCAAATTACTTTCTGTTTGGAAAAAAGTTTTTGTACAAATTAGGAAATATGTTTATGTTAAAAATTTCTGTATCATATTTGATGACAAAGAATTCCAAATATATATAAACCCAATATGTGAAAGGAAGTATTACATAAATAAGCTGAGAAGGTAGTAAAAATGGATTCTATACTTCTCCAGAAGAAAATGAAATTCAAACCACCATAGTTCTTAGGTGAGATAAAGACTTTGAAAATAAGTATCAAGATCTATGTATCAAATACAAAAACTTTACATGATAACAAACATCAACATGCAGCAGTGTAATTATGCCCTTTTAAAAAAAAAAATCCAATATTTAACTACCATATAATTCTTCTAAAGTACCATCAAATAGGTAATTCCCCCCCTAAAAGCTTACATTTAAAAAAACTGCCAGTAACCTTTTCTAGCCAATTTAAACATGTTCTCCTACAATGTAACTATGGATTCAATTTTTAAAGTTATTAATATAAGGGAACTGATACAAGTATTATTAGTACTTAGAAAATAATTGTACCCTACTGATGAAATCACTTTAGTAAGAACCTTAACATAATTAACCACACATATACTCTTTATTTCAACTGCAACAAGTGTTTGCTCTGAGGAAATTTCTTTAAAAAATTATCCTACTTTACAAACTGATTCATCATTAAAAATTTCAAGTTTCAGTTAAGTATTCTAAGGAACACTTCAAAAAATAGTATTGCAACAAAAGTTACAAATAGTATACTTTTGTCAACTTTTTAAAAACAAAGTGCTCATTATTGAATTCTATCAATGTTTCATTATTAACAGGGGTCAGAATATGTATATTCATTTCCTAACTATAAAAATCATTTAAATCACAAAGCTAACATTAGAAATTTTAAAAGACTGTCATTTAAAAACACCCAAGGCCATATACTATCCTCCAACAGCTGACTCTCACTACATTTACCAACATGTCTACAGATAGGAAAAGCACAGCACACACACACATTTCAACTTTAGGGTTTAGAGATATCACAACTAGAGGAAAGTTTGATAATATCAGTGTCAACAAATTTTTAAATAGTATTATGCAATAATAAATCTAAAGTTCTATTAAAAACACACATATCCTCTTTATTATATAACAGTTGAATTGTTTTGAGATATGCAATTCTTTGCAGTCAATATTTTTAAAAGAGAAAAATATTCTGGGTACACTGGCATTAATTTTTAAGTATGTTATGGAAACTGAAATAACTTGTATTTCCTGAAATATATACTATAAAAGTATGTTCAGAATACTTAAAAAAGAAATTCAATGGCACATATTTTTTTTTACCACACACAAAAAAACTGTCATATATTTAAAATAATTTGCATAGGTATCCGTCCAGCCAAACATTTAAAATTTCTGATTATCTATGATTCACATTTTATATAACAAAATAGTATAGAGACATAATGGGGAAAATCTAGCTTATATATAAAACCTGGCATGTTTTCAAAATGCTCATACAGTTTAAAAGATAGCTAAAATTAAATACATTTTAATAAATTTTATAAAATGGTCCTGAATTGCAATCTGCTTCTATAAAAGATGTTCACTTGATACCCATACAGACCATTTACAATGGTCTAATTATTACTTGTAGCTGCCTGGCTAAAATCAATAGAATTCCTACCTTAGAACAATTACTCATACAATTTTTATGTAATTTATGGAAATCTCAAAAGAGAAACTCCTTCAATGACACATTTAATTCTGTCCTTTTCTTAAATACAAGATGTATAAAAGAAGACTAATGCTAGCCAAACATTTAAAAAACAATCACTGTTTATAATCTAGAAACTGCTAGCTAAATGTATACATGTATAAGCTTTACCGGCAATATAGTCTTGTATTCAATTCAGTGGATCTAGGAACGTTTATCAACATATAACCATTAAATTAAATTTGGATGTCTCATGGGTCTCTACAGTAACACTTGTTAATAAAATGTCTAATACATGAATATTTTTTGAAAAACCAAGTTAAAACTAGGTAGGATCAGACAAAAGAAAAGTGCTATTTTTTTTCATTCATCTATAAAACAAATTTATGAGGTCGTAAAGAACAATTTAACAACCTAGAGAAGGTTCAAAGAGGGAAGTAAGAGCCTAAAAGAAAATAGATTTATCAATGATTTTTAGGTACTCAGTTTAAGAAGGGAAAGAGAAAGCAGGTTCATTTGGTAATGTAAGTAGGAGGCATAAAATTCAGCAGCTTCTATGTAGAATCCTGTTTGTGCACTTAAACCCTGTTTCAGATAATGCTGATCCTTCCTCATGTAAACAGCCAATAATGATGACCAGGCCTTTAGGAAAGGAAAACATATACCACACAATAAGGTCAGGAAGCTACCAAGCACTAGAAGACAACTGACCAAAACAGAATGGTTTCACATGTTCCTGTTGTTTATATAGGTATCTGATGATATTCCAGAGGAAAGAGGGGCTGCTGTAAATACTACCAGGAACATATCACACAGTATAAAATAAATACCATTTTCAAGCAGTGATTCTAAGTATTACAGGCATGTATCTGTATCAGTCAACCTGTTGTATTAACTACCATTCCTTCAACTCTTTTTAACTTAGATGTCAAGCGAAAATAAACCCCTTTAGTCCCAAACCCCTCTTTCAAACCGAATTCACTACAATTTATATTTCCTTAACTTCTTTTGAAGAAATAGGCCTCTAAGCACTCAATATCTTTTTAGTATAAAAATATTAATTAATAGAAAGAAATGCAAGAGAAAGAAGTACTAATGTATTATTTCCTGGGGGAAAAGAAATTTAAATGTGAAGGAATGACTTTCTGTTTGGTATTTAAGCATCTTTAAAAATTACAACACAATATAAGCAATGGTGGAAATTTACCCCAAGTAGCAGACTAGCACTTTTTAAACACACAACCTTGAGCCGCCTTTAGCCACATGTTTTTTTTAGTTCAGTCTCTTAAAGAGACAGTATCCTTTGGCCCAATGCCCCAATATGGAACACATTTCTTAAATGTTTGATACCTAAAAATCTTCCCTGGAATTTCTTCAAATCCATTCTAGCCCAAGAGTGTTCTATTTGGTCATACTGTGATATCAAACTAATTTCATTTTAATCTACAAATGACTAGGGGGCAGGCAGTGACAAAATAATCTAGGAGAAGCTACTGTGAGTAGAAGTGTCTAAAATATAGGGAAACTACGCATTTCTTAGAACAGCAAAATGTTTTGTTTTAAACTTCAAAATGATCGCTGTTTCTTCATTCATTTTTCTACCCACTTACTAGCCATAGGGGACCGATTGTAATCCATAATACCGGAAGCTACAAGAACACAATTTCGCTGTTCAATGAAAAGGAGGAAATGCTAGTAACATCAGCCTGAGTCCAAACAGTGAAATACCAAAGATTTCATTTCTATTAAGGAAAATATATCCTATATCCTACACATGCCCTAAAAACTGGATTACCACGTGATTGTAAGGACGGATTTTATCTTTTGATTTAGTTAGTAACATATTATTCTATGCCTATTAACGTAACTACAGATCAGCTCCTCAAAAAGGGAAAAGGGAAAAGGGCAGAAAAAAGTTTGGCTTACTTGGTGTACAAATACATCCACTGGAATATCCAAGGGGCTCCCCTCTCGGTTTATCATGGAGATGAATCCAAATCCCATTCGCACATTGAACCACTTACAGTGGCCAGTTCCGTGCAAAACCTGGGATTCCTCCTCTGCCTGCTCCGGCAGCTTCCCGGACTCTTCTCCACCACCTTTGCTTGCCCCGCCTGAGATGGAACAGGACAAAAAAGTCAGTTAATATGTATTTCCATACGGTGTTCATCGAAAGAGGAAAAAAAAAATTGCTTGGGGTGGGGAGGGAGAGAAAATAACAAATCATTAGTAAACGGTTTCATTCCTCCTTTTCTTCTAGAGAAAATATTTAAAATGAAAGCGGGGAGGGCAAAGCCACCTCTTTCTATCAATCACACCAACTTCCACGTTTCTGCACGTATGTATACTTTTCATTTAACTCCATTTTTCAACCACGCATTATACTACAGCTTGCGATACTTTACTTTCATGTTGCTGATTTAACACTCATCCCATACAAAGAGAAATTTTTAACGAAACTATTTTCTCTGGCAGGCAGGAGGAGAAAGAAAATGGTCAAGATAGAAGTAATAGTTAATGCACACGCGGCAGCAGTGAATCCAGGGTTATTTCCAATGCGCGTTCCCCTCCCCCCATAACTTTCAATTAAAGTTGGGGTAAGATGGGGGAGGGGGCAGGTGTATTAAAGTTTTCTTGGCCTCGCTAACTGAAACTGCGCTTAATCACGCTCACACAATTCAAACAATAGCCCCCTGAAAGCTTTTCAAGTAGTGAATCAGTGTGGGCGGTACAAAACATTTTTGGAAATCTATAACAATAGGTTTGCATAAAGCCCCATGGGAGGTAGGGAGGTAAGGCTCAGTATTGGGGTAAGCGGGGGCAGGGAACGGGGAAGGAAGGATGAGAAAGGGGGTGGTAGGGGAAGAAAAGAAAGAAAATCTCAGTAAAACAATGGAAAAGAAAATTAACCTTCGGCCATGTTGCCCCACGGGCCCTCTGCTCCAAACTCGTGAGATGAAAACTTTCCCTTTGGAACGGAGTGTTCTTCTGCATCAGCCTAACATCTTGACTTTGTGCGATCACAAATTTAGCTCGCATGGTCTCATGTGCTTTCCTTCTTTTGATTTTTTTCTCTTCTCTCTCGAGTTTCTGGCCCCCTGAGCACACGTGACTTTGTCAATTACATGCTTTCTTGCTACTAATTTCACCTCGGACCCTTAAGGGGCTGGCAAGAGGAAGAGATAACCAATCGCCATTTCATCTCTGCTGACATCAAAATAATTTATGAATGAACACTAAAAACTCATACGTTAAAGACAGTCTGAGCTGCTTCTTTACAATATATCAGAATTCTGGTTTCATCCTTCTATTTAAGCACAATGGAGGGTTCCTTGTGAATCGTCGATTTAGAAAAACAGCAGTCATGTATGTGCACACGTGTGCCCCGCACACAAGCCCTTCTAAACCTTCTCACAGCACAGAGGCATTTAAATAAAGCAACGTATGTGTTACGGTTTTCTTCCCTTAAGAATTAGGCTACTTCCGTATCATTAAACCTGCTTCGGACACTACAGTTTCATATTTAATTTAATTAGAGGAAAATATGTAATTTATAAAAGACCAAATTAATCCTAATTACATACCCTTTATTAAAACTTTATACTACAGAAAAGGCAAAAGTGCCTAATTATAACCTCAATCGATTTTCCAAATTTAAAATAAAAATTTACCAGAAAAGTTATTCCCATTTTAAATTTTATTTAAGTTTATCATTTCAGAACATTTTAGAGGGGGCTGGTAAGGAATAGTACTTCACAGGTTTCTCCGCCATCTCTTTCCGGGGGAGGAGATGTGATTAATGACTTCCTAAATAACAGCCCAGTTTCGCAGCCTAACAGAGTGAACCTCAATCAGCCGCGATTGTTCCCCAAGAGCGAGAGGACTTAGGGCAGAGGGGGAGGGGAGTGCCGGGGAGGGGAGGTGAAGAGGAGCCGTCAGGAGAGGCGGCTGCACAGCCCTAAGGGGGGGACAGGCGCCGGCCGGGATGGAGCGAATAAAGAGGGTACGTGTGACAAAAAGGTAAATTCGTGTATTGACTGCATCCTGGTATTTTAAATGTCCACTACCAACGAGTAGAAAAGTGGAATAAACGAAAAATTAACAACGGATTAGGCTCTTCCCGTCCTTTTCCCGTTGGCCCCCAGTTTCAAAATGCTTACTTTTTACCTTTCAAATCAGCTCAAAAGATTGATTGAGATGCTGATTACATTACCCCCTCTTATTGAATATATACTAAGTATTATAGATTAACTAGAAATGCTTTACTTCCTGTAAAATATAAAATGTCACCTCTCTGTTAACATTAAAAGGCACCTACCAATCTTTACCCCACCCCCATCTCGCCCCCATTTTCTTAGACAGGCAGTTTACGGAAAAACTACAGATAGCACAGATCGCACTTCCCTTCCGCAAAGTTGCTGCGCTGACCCTCCCCCACGCTGCAACCCCCTCCCCACCTCCAAACAGGCCACATTCTAAGTGTTTCACACAAACTAAAATGTTGGCATTCTGAATTAAAAAACCTATTGAAAAAAATACATACGCTTATTAACACCTTTCTCGTATCAAACAACTAAAAAATTTAGTTCAGATTTAAGTGGAATGGATGTATATTAAAAAAATTGAAGTTAATTTTCAGCTGTTTGTGATAAAAGGTGTCAATTAAAAGCAATCAGTTTGGAAAATTTTTTTTCACCTGTTTTTATTTCTTTTGTTGTTTCTCAAGAAAAAGAGCGGGCTTTCTGGTTTTATTTATTTTGAGGGTAGCAAACAGGGTATTAGCTGGTAAGGAGGAAAGAAATGTAAAATGCTAAATGATTTTCCAAGTGTAACAAAAGCTTCACAACCTGAAAACATTATTTGCTAACAAAATATTTATCAGCCATATTTTCATAATGGAAATGTGACCGCTACTGTTACACTTAATTTACATTGACTTATAAGGAAGTAACTTTAACAATAGCATTAGAGGTATAACATTATATGTAATATAAAAAACTTTTAAAGAATGACCTTTAAAAAATCGGCATGTTATCAAAGAAAAATCTGAAAAAAACTGAGTGAAAAATTCATAGACCAATATACGTTGGTTTACAGTAAAAACATTCGTAACCTACAAGTTTGTTTTGAATTAGAGAACAGTTTACTCATAAAATTAGGAAAACTATGTAATTGCATTCTGAATCTTTATTGTTAAATCTGACAAAATTCAAACTCATCAATATGTAGATGCTGTGTGGAATAGCATAGCTGAACCACATGGAAGGGTACTGTTATGAGCTTCACAGTAGTGCCTAGTTGGGGGCTCCCAGTATTAGAGGAATTAAGGTAGGGTTCACTGGACTGGTCACTGGTGTCAGAGGTTATCGACTCATTCATTTCCTGAGAAGGACATCAGCCTTTCAAGTAGTGTAGGTTTTTTCCAACTGGGAACCCTGAGAAATCTCTAAAATTCATTCACAAAGAAATTAAGGCAAATACATTAAAATGCCTTGGGTGGGGTAAACAAAAGGGAGAGCAAAAGCAAGGGAAGGTGAGAGAGGAGGGAAGTTGGAAAGAGAAGCAAAGGTAGGAGGCTCTGATTTACCAATTCAAGGGCACTCACTGTCTTTTGAAATAGGTTTGTCTTTTCTGCCTCCTCAAATCTGCAGAGCCTAAGATCCCTTTATAAACTGACCATAAACTCTTAGAGCTCAAGAGTGGTTCTTTCACATAAAATGGCCCTATGAGTCTCCTACAATGCGTTCCAATTTGTCACCTTTCTGAAGTCTTCTGGTTTTAATTTTTTTCTCATTTCCTATTTGATTTTAGTCCCAGAAAGACCTGTGTTTGACTCAAAACGCATGTTTTATACCTGCGAAAGCCAAATATTTTATAGCTTGATTTATCATAGTTCTTCCAAAACGTCTTTAAAACGACTTCAAGTAGCTACAAAGACTCATGAAAGCGGGGAGGGGGAAATCAAAGAAATACTCTATCATGTCTGTTGGTTATTACAATCTTAGGTTTCCTCATTTTAAAAAAAGCAGTTATACAATTTCTCAGCTTCCCCCTCTCAAGGCAAGGAGCTGAGAGACGTGGCAGAGCCCACCGTCGTGGTTTCCAACTATAAGCTACGCGCGACTTCTACTAAAGAACAAACAATGCTTTGGTTCCCCGGTTCTTCTTAAAACTAAGCGGAGGGGCTCTGGCGCGGCTGGGTGCGACTCCTCCACTCCTGTACGTCCTCCACGCTGCAAATACACCGGGTCCAAGCCCAGCACAATCTCTGCAGCCCGAGCCTTCCGGCTCAGCTCTAGCCCCAGGGGCCAGCAAATCTGCCCTTTCTTTCCACCCGGCCCTGCGATGTCCTCTCACCTTTCCCTTTTCAGTTCTCGGGCACCCTCCCTTTTATCCATCACATCAACACCTCCTCTGCAGAAGTCGAGCCACTCCAAAGGCTGGTGAAGTCTCACTAATTAGAGGACTTTTACATGTGTCATGTATTCCCCAAGAACAAAAAGAAACCCTCGCCTTTACCACTAAGGCGAAAGCGCTGGGAGCAATCTAGTATTTTTACTGAATTTCCATACACACATCATTTGTAACTTGATCCCTTTATCAGTGAGACACCAGAACCTTCAAAAAGTAAGATAAGTGAGGTCAAGGAGCAAGGGAGAATCTGGAGAACCCAGGAAAACGACCGCCCCCACCCCCACCAGGCCCTGCCTAAAATGGAGCCGTCTTCAAACAAACCCGGCGCCGTCCTATCGTCCTATCGCGAAGCCACGAAAGCAGCGCCAGCGCCCGCGAGGGGCAGGGAGCGCGGCGGCGGGAGGGGTGCACGCGCCCCGCGCTGCGGGGGACAGGCGCGTCCCGGCGCGACCCTCCCGCTCACTCTGCCGGCCGCACGTCGGGGCACCGCGTGCAGCTCCCCCACTCCGCGCGCCCGCGAACCACCTGGCAAGGACTGTCCTCACCCTCCCAACATGGACTCAAAGGGCGGGCGGACCCGCACGGGTGCGCTGGTCTTTGGGTGCTCACGTCAGACTATGGGGCCGCTTTGTTTTTGTTTCCTAAATAAAAATTCCGTTCCCATCCCATTTTCTTATCTGGAGAAAAAATGCTCCTGCTTTAACACAACTGTTCTCTTTTAACATATTTCACAGTTGTAAGAACTAAAACTTTCTTAAATATCTTCTGAACACGTTTTTTTGGAAATGATGAAGTAAAATTGTGAAAATGTGGAACAGATTAGCGCAAATTTTCAGTTTTCCGTTCGAATTGCCTTTATATTTTAAAATCAAGCTTTTGCAAATTCTGAGTCAGCTATGTTTCAGCAAAGTATTTAGAGAAACAAAATTCACACAAAACAGGCATTATTTTAAGACCACCACTTTGTGGAAAATACCTTTTAAAAAAACTGGAATGGCAAAAACTACTCATGTATTCAGACTTTCTCCCAATCGAAAAATAAAAATTTCACAATTTCTTCTCCAAATATTTCTTGAGCTCTGCTCAGAAATACTTTAAGTGATCTTAATTAACAGGTTAGAAAAAAAATCATGTGGTAAGAAGCTTTTACATTACTTTGCTCAGAACAGCACAAAAGAAAAAGCTTCACGATTTATTTGAAAAAGGCAGTATCTTTCACCCTGTACTACTCGAACACGTACATTTCATAATTTAAAGATATTTTTGCAGTTAATATTGTAGGGGAGCACTAATGTAAACACACGTCATTCTCCCTCCCCTAAAGCTTGAATAAAAGTTTATTCTTTAAAACTTAATTTCATCAGTGCTCACTTTGCAGCACATATACTAAAAACTTAACTTCATCACAGCAAATAATCCACTGAAAGAACAGCATGGACTGTCTCCCAGGCATTATTTTAATATTTACACTTTAACTTTATTCTGATACAGATATAGGAAGGAAAAGAACAGTGGGAGAGTAAAAAATGAAATCATCAGGCTTTAAAGATGCCCAGGTGAAAAGCAAATTTGTGAAGAAAAAACATCCAGCTAGAAACTCAGAGCCAGTCATTAAACTCATGACCTTGTACGAGACAGTTTCTCTGGGCCTCAGTTTCCTCATCAATAAAGCTAGGAGACTACACCAGTTTCAAAGTCTTCCAGCTTTAAAAAAAAAAGTCATCTTTAGAAATAACCTTTCCCTTCTTTTGGTGAAAGTGGTGCCTCTCCTTTCCAACCCCTATTTAATCACAAGGAAACACAGACATGAAACTTTATTGCAGTCACTTAACACATTGGTGCTAACACTATTTCCCAACAGAAAAGAACAATGTCTCTGGACTGCCTCCTGAAAAGAACCACAACCAATAATAAGGGAAAGTTGTTGGTATGTTAAAATTATGACAGCAACTTTTGAGAATTTTCTTTTTCATCAGTATCATCTCCATGCTAACAGATTCACTCTAGAAAAAAAATGTGTCAAATGACAATACAGTTCCTATCATTTCTTTCATTAAACTTTTTTATCCTTACTGCGTTCCTCAGCTACTCAGTCCTTATTTGATAAACTTAATAGAATAACATCATTTTATGTGTAGTTATGAGGGCTCAAACCTTTCCAGATCACAATTCTGTGTTTTTTGCAAGTCAAGAGGTAAGTCAGGGTATTAAATTCATCAGGGCAGAAGTCAGAGTAACCATTATTATCAAATAAAAGTTACTGAAAAAAATTATGTAAGTTAATTTCAGTAATATATAAGAAAATGCATGTCAGAAGTCTAACTTTTAAACGTTAAACATTGAAAAGATTCAGTTTTACAATATAATAAGGAGCAAATTTAGATACATGTCCATAAAAAATGATGTAAATGGACATTCCTGGATTAGGCAAATTACCTCAAAAAGAGTCTCATATGTTGTGCTATTTATGTTACAGTGCATTATTTGAAAACAGTAAAAAGTCTCTATCTTTAATTCAATAGATATTAGTGACCATAGGGAATTACAAAAATGAATAAGCCATGAATACTTTTCACCTATCTCCACAAGCATTTAAATATTACCTGTTATCTATCTGGTTTGCGTTACTTAAAAGAGAATTACAAAATACAATACTGCTAAACTCAGGGGGGAAAGGAATTAATTAGAAGATACTACCCATGAAATTCTGGTGGGAATACCAGTTTTACAGATAGTGTCATGTGGATGGAATATAGTAAGACATGGTGACTATCTTGCCTAAGGGGAAAGTCAAAATGGAGAATTCCTGAGACTCTCTCAAGTTCTCTCAGATGTTCCTCATGACTTTTTAACATTAATTAAGTAAAATATTTAATTTTAAAAAACAGACTAACCTGGGGCTGATGAAACCTGGTTGAATGACCTCATCGTCTTCTGAAGAACCTAGAATCAGAGAGCTCAAGTCAGTACTACATTAATTGCCTATTTAATTGCCTCTTCTTCAGCTTAATGGCTCATTAGAAAGCAATAAAATACCCAGGTTTTGACTCTGTGAAGTGACCTGTAAACTTTTTTTTTTTAGTTTAAGAGTCACCTAGCAAAAATTAGATAACCAAGTGGCATAAACTTGCCTTTTATTTCTATTGGAAAGACACTGCTTTAAAAACATTTTAAAACAAGAACATTAAATGTAAAGTTCAGTTTTATGAACAATGTAGTTTTAATTTCTGATATTTAATTTTACTCTGTAATCCAAGAATCCCAAGCTTTTTCAAATACAATTAAAATCTACCTAAACTACAATATTGTGCTTCTTGATGAACCTGACTATTCTCTTTGGATGTATTTTAGATAATAAATCAAGAGAATTAATTATGGTACTATACCACTGACACTGGGTTTGCTACATTCAAATGCTTTTTGAGAGAAAATTACTCAACTAGTAATCCATTTAATCAGTAATGAATATTTAAAGGTATCTACTATGCATTAAGCCAGATTTTAAAAAGCAATATTAGTTTCCATTTTAATATAAGTAGTGATATTTCTAGTATATCCACTAGCAGATGCCACAACACAACGACACCTAGAAGAAGCCACCCAGTAATAGCACTTGGAAGGGAAACTCCTTGAGCTCTGAATTACTTTTTACTCTTGGATTTGGAAAATAGATTGGTCTAAACATGCAACCATTCACCTGCTGCCACACACGGTTTTTCTTTTAACTAAATTTTAGACTCTGTATCTACCATATAAATTTTTCAATGAAAGTATTATGTGTAAATTTTTTAAACTGCAATTTAATTTCTCCTCAAAAGGAAATAGAGGCTTTTCCAAGTGGAGTTCTACTGAATGTTGACCCAAGAATCTTCTTACAAAGGATGACAATCCCACTGAGTAAGATTTGAAAAGACTAGAGGAAGAATGTGAACAAAAGGCACGTGAACCTCTTGTACATTAAATCCTTCAGTTATCCTGTGTTTACAACCAAAAGATACAATAATAGACCCTAACTTTAACAAACTTCATTATTAAAACTGATGGAAATGGAGCTTTCCTTTACATTGAAGCTATATCATTTTATTTTGCACATTTGGTTTACATGTGTGTATTTAAATACTATGCATAAATATTTCAGCAAAACCTTAGTTAATGCTTTTTATTCAAACAGCCCATAGCCTATGCTTAATGCTATCTACTTGTATTTACAGAAAAGTTCAAATCAACATTTTAAAAGACGTGTGAACATAATAGATAAAATTTGGTTAAAAAAACTTTTCAAATAATTTGGATGATTATAAATGAGAAATTTAATAAACTCAACCAACATAAGAGAGGTGGCTAATGTTATTTAACTCAAGAACTCTAAACTTTTGGTGTTTAAAAATAGTCAACTTGAATGATAAAGATGTTCAGATTTTTCACTATCCAAATGCATGTTTTTGGTTAATAGTTACAGTATTAGCATCCCTTTAAAGCCAGGCATGATGTCTTATGGCTGTAATTCCAACACTCAGGAGGCTGAGGCAGGAGGAACAGTGTGATTTCAAAGCCAGCCTGATCTAGAAAGAGAGACCCTGTCTCATAAAAAAAAAAAAAAAAGGAAAATGGAATTATTTCACAGACAATTCATGTATTTTACTGGTTTACAAGGTTTTGTTTGTTTTAGTGATGCAAGGGATGGAAGCCAAGGCTTTGCACATGGTGCTCTACTACTGAGCTACATTCCCAGCCCCATATTTCATTAAGTAATTGTCAAAAATTTTCAAAAAATGAGTTGGTAAACAGAATTAGGTTTAAATAAAGGTATTACAACCCATCCATCAAATATTTCTTAAACCATAATACAAATAAATGCAGGTAAATGACTTTTTTTTCAGTACTAACCCCAGTGCCTTGTTCATGCTAGGCATGTGCTCTATCACTAAGCTATATCCCCAGTCCTTTTTCAGTTTTGAGATGGGGTCTTGCTAAATTGTCCAAGCTGACCTCATACTTGGAACTGAGAGTATAGATGTGTGCTGGCACACTGACATTTATAATTTAAATATTCATATAAAAGGAGGCACCTTTGAAGTAATAATTTAAATATTTAAGTGCATGACTTCTCCAAGAACATTTGTATTTTATACATGGCGGGTTTTTTTTAAATTTTTTTTTGTTTTTTTGGTTTTTTTCCCGTACCAGGAATCGAACTCACAACCTCGCATTTGCCAGGCAAGCGCTGTGCCACTGAGCTAAATCCCCTGCCCCTGGAGTCTTTAAATATAATTTCCATACTACAACACGCATTGTTAATTTCCTACCACTTTGTAACTCTATATTGTCTGTACTGTTCTTTTGCTATTTTGTAAAATGTTATCTGTTAATGTTTTCCTTTTATTTTTAAAATAAAATAAAAAATATAATTTTCAGTAACATACCTCAGTAACGTAAGAGTTCACTTTTATTAAAAAGCAAAACCTAATTAAAACTGAAGTCCTGGAATAGACTTTTCTGCCCATTCAATAAACTAGTTCCTGTTCCTCATTTAGAGCTTCATTTTGAGCTCCTTTTCTTTGTTTCATGCTAAGTACAATGCCTCTATCACGCCATACTATATAATACTTTAACAGACCATGAACATGTTCTTCCTCCCAACTTGACTCTGTGCTCTGTGGTGGCTGACACTGTTGTATGTTTAGCTCGTTTTTTAAAATCTCTATATTCTTTAGTGTTCCATATGTCTTCTTGTTGTTGTTGTTGTTTCACATTATCCAAACTGAACCCAGGGCCTGCATACCCCATGCTACAACCCCAGCCCCCTTTGCTTTTTTGAGACAGGTCTTGCTAACTAAGTTGTCCCCGCTGGGCAGGAACTTGCAATCCTCCTGCTTCAGTCTCCCACAGTGCTGAGCGTATAGACATTCACCAATATCCCCTGCTACAATATATATTTTTTGAATGAATGAATGACTTAATTTCTGTAGCTGGTTCAACAATCTCTACAATGACTTTTATGGAAGAAAGAAAAGGAAAGGACTTGTACACAAAACTTTTATTAAAATAACGTTTTCACATGAAAAAAATGTAACACAATCATTTGAGTACTGAAAATATAAAATATATAAAGAATTCTAATTTTATTATAAATATACAGGAGCTGGGATGTAGCTCTGTAGAAAACAAAGCAAGCAACAATTCAATTTTTCTTTCTTAGAAAAATAAGTCGGCAAAAAGTTTTTAAATGGCACTACTATACTTAAAACCATATAGCAAACGTACTATACAAATACCAGAGTAAAACCTAAAGCATAATACTTATTTACGTCAACTACAACTTAAAATATATACATGTATCAAATATTAGGCATGAAAATTCAAGTACTTTTCAAAATGTTTTACACTGTCCTCTAAAAAACTGCTTACTGTGAATTAAAATCATACTGTAATTATTCTTTGCAAATTAGGCAACAGACTATATACAAATGATGCCTAACCAAGATCAGGATAAATTATTTGGCAATTTATTGAACTTCCTGTGGTAATTATGGGTATAACTGGATGTACTGCTTATACTGTCTCAAATATATATAGGTAAAAAATATGCTATGAAAAGGGAAATTAACACAAATATTTACATGTGACTTATTCAGCTGAAAACTTAGGTTATGGGTGTTGACAACAGGAAGCTTCATATTTGGTGAAACATTTTGGGAAGTATTTTGAGAACTGAGAATTACACATCACCTTAGGGAAAATATTTCAAAGTTGTGTCCTTGGGCCAGGGATAGAGCTCAGAGGCACAAGCTCTGCCTGGCAAGTGCAAGGTCCTGAGTTCAATTCCCAGTACCAAACCAAACCAAACCAAACCAAACAAAGTTGCATTCTTTTTTACATTTACAGTGTATGTGATTTACCTCACAATATATAAAACTACCTGAGGGTAATATCTGTAATAATGCTGAATCACAGAAATGAATTTAACTTTCTCAATCATTATCATTGTGTTCAAATGAAAAGTTTATTCTAGAAAACAAAAACTTCAGTGAATAACAATCTCAGTCAACTAAGATTGCATGAAGACAATGATGGGAGCAAATGTTAACTGATAAACACATTTCTTTAACGTAAATGTAAACAGCACAGCTGAGTCACAACACAACTGAGCCACAGCTAATGCAGATGTTTACATTTTATACAATAGTTTTATTTATATAACAAAGCTTACAGATGAATCATCACATACATCATGTTGAAAAGAATAAAACTTTAAAAAGCAATAGTTCTTTGTATTTTTTAAGGTATCAGAATAGCAACAAAACTCCTCTTAATGAACCTGATTGCACATGCTTTGAAGCCTCACCATAACTCTATGATAAAAACTTTTAAAAAGCTTATGGTTATACTAAGAATGATTCCAAGTAAAACTTACTACAACACTAAAAAAAATTTTAGTGGATACCCAATTTAAGTTTTAATATAACATTGTTAATAACTAAAAACTTTTACTACTAGAGATATAACAGAACTTTTAGTGCATTCTAAGTATAGTACTAAACATTTTTAAAAACATCTCAGTATAGAGATATTCATCTTTACATCACTGACGGTGAACTAATGGTGTAATGTGATACTATACAAAAACAATAGCATTTTAATAGCAGAGGAGATTAAACCAACAGTAATGTTTTTAAAAAAGCTACAACTTAACAAATTTTTTTCTAAAAGTTTAAATCTACAAAAAACACTGAAGTCTATTTTCAACCTATCAAGTCTAGAATTTTACTTAAAATGTTTTTGAAGGGTCTAAACAAACAATGCATAAAAATATCAGACAAATATAAAAGTTACATTTCGGCTCTCGTATTTCCAAATAAATCAGTAAAAAAAATAGCAATTTGAAAATATCTAGAAATTTTAAAACGTGTTTTTCCACCATTATAACTGATCACTCAACACTAAGTTCTTTTTACCATATAATTAAGCTTTTGTTCAGCCATAAAAAAAACTAGAGACTGATTGCTTGAAAATTAGCTGCATGCCCTTTGTCCTGGTTTGTCACCTTTGACCCTTAATTTGATGAGCCTGCGTATCAACCCCTTCTATTTTTAGTAAAATAATGTCAAAGTTCTATGCATAAAATAGTACTTTTTACTGAAATATTAAATGTATTACAACATTTCTTTACAGGTAATTTCTATGATTGTTTCAAACCAATGTTCATCTCGCACAATGGAGAGCACAATATATTACTGTGAGGGACGAAACCTTTTGTTAGTTTGGCTGTGAACAGAAAATTTCCCAAAAGTACTAGGTCAAGATCATTATAAATTCAAACCTTCTATTCTTTACTTAGAAAACTGCTTATACTGTTTCTAAGTAGAATTTATTTCCTGTGTGATTTCTAATTTGGTTATGTTTAATAATCATATATTTTGATACTGGTCTTGAATCTAAACCATCAAAATATGAACCTAAATAAAAAACTAAAAACATAAAAGTTTATACTCCACCTTATAGCACAATCAACTAAAATTGTACAGTTTTTGAATAACTCATTGCTTGCTTAAACCTGTTTCCAAATCTTTGTCACCATCTGCAAATGGCAGCTTTCAAAGAAAAAGAAATGTCTAACTGATCATACTGATTTTACTGGTATTTTTCAAAATAATGTTCTGCAATAAATCAATGTATTTCTAAAATAAAACTTCTCTAGAATAATTTCTAGATGATTGCAATTCAACATCGTAAAAAGTTTTTAAAGTAAAAAATATGTATGAAATACATAGTTTCCACCATCATGATGCTGCTTGAACATCAATGCAATTTCAACAGTTTTCAGTTAGCTTTAGCAGTGGCCAATATGGCTGTCTTGATTCAGCACTATGGTCAGCGACTTCACAGACTGTCGTGTCAGAGAGATTCAACACAACACTATCACACACATACGAAATGCACAAATTTCTCAGGTCAATGTAATTCTATATATGACATATTTTTAGATATATTTGTATAAATCAATCAAGTATCTGAACGTAAAGAATTTTCATTGTTCTGCTTGGTGATCTAGAAATTTTACTTTGTAATGCATTGAAAACAGTACTTATTCATAAACACAGTTCCTTTAAAGGGCAAGAAAATCAGGTACTAGGTACAAGTTTTAAAGCATTTAAACATCAAATTTTGAGCATTTGAAAATTTAAAAAGAAAATTCAATTGTACTAAATATCACCAAATAAGGAAACCCTTCAGCTGACAAAATATTTTAATGTCCTTTTTATAATCAATAACTTTAATACTTCTAAGTTGATTCATCTCTGCATCCCCACTTTTTTCTTAATCAACTCAACTATAGATTAAATATTTCATAGGTCATTTCCTGACCTGAGTTTGCTAATATAGTCCCTATAGCTGTACATAGCACTTGAATTATTTTAAAGAGAAATCAGTCCTTTACTAAACCTGAAAGATGTTATACATACAGGTTGTATTTAATAACATATCTTCTCTTTAATCATGATTTTGTAAATTATGACAGCAATGGGTTATAAATTCCAACAGTGACATGATCAGATAACAAGCATTACTAATGTTTCTAGTAGGTAAGATCTGCTTAACCTTTACTTCGCCAGAACCAACACAGAAACGATTCTATATTTACTAAAATTGTAGTGGCTTTTTGTAACTTACATGTGCAACACCATTTAAAATAAGTCATTTAAAAAACTTTGAACACAACCATCTCGAATCTCAATCTGCTTCATTTACAAAGTAGAAGATTAACCATATTTTCCCCTTTTAACCTGTCAATTCTGCATTGAAATCCTGATTAATTACAGAACAGTTTTCATTCTTTGTGAAATAAGACTGGCCACAGAACATACATGATGAGATACTCGGCAATCTGAAAAGAATTAATATAATCACTAAATCATATGGTTCAAGATCTATAGAGAAGTACCTATGAATAGTTCCAATGATTGCTACATATTACAAATTGATACAATTCCTTAAATTTATGATATTCTATAGCAACCAATTATTAGCTGGTGCTATTTGTAAAACAGAAAAGTATAATAAAACTCATTCACTGATACATGGTTCCTCTACCCTTAAACATTAGAAAGAGGCCCTGTGTCAGTTTAATTTCTAAAGCTCTTTAGGAAATTAGGCACACTGCATTGCAATGCATGCGAAGATAAACAGAGAAACAAAAACTGCCCCGAAAATGCACATGGGTCTAATGTTAACCTAACTGGAGCACTAGCTATTACATGTTCTTTTCCTAATTTATAAACTAATTTCTCTATCAAATCTATGTAAATCCACAACAGAAAAAAGGCAATTTCAAAACATACAAAATTACACAAATTGGCATACATTCCCAAGAGCTCAGTTTTAACTTTTCAACTTTCCTTAAAACTGTTCACAAACTTAAATAAAACTGTTTTGTGATTTATTGCTGGACTTAACATGTTGTTTTCACAGAGCGTTTTTGCATTCCCATCTAGCTAAACATAGTAATCTGCATCAAAAAGTAAAACACGAGCATTTCCTGGACCAGAGGTTTAAAAAAAAAAAAAAAAAAAAAATCCCTTTCCAGCACACCTTCCCAGCAATGCTGTTTCCAATTCATTCTAATTTCAGTTTGTCATCTGTAATGTTCGCCTCCACAATATCTGCGATGAGGAAATAAAAAACGATGTGTTTTCTCTTACATTAATAACTGTGCATAGACCTGAACACTGCGCATTTTCTGGCGCACGGAACAGCTGGAGGTCTAAAAACTCGCACGGAGCATTCAGGTCTCTGGACAATCCCGCCGTGGGTAACCCGCACACCCACGGGGCAGGGGCCCGAGGGGGCCGCAGGGAGCGCAGGCGCTGGCTCTGGCTCCCTGCCTGGTACGCGAGACAATTCAAAATGGCGGACTTACTTACATTTAAGAAATTTCCGCACTGAGAGCTCCGAATACATACTCTAGGATGTTACTCGGAAACACTCAATATTTACGAATGTGTGATATAAAAAAAAAAAAAGTTTTTTGGAGTGCAAATCCTCGTAAAACACCCTCACGCGGGGTTGCAGCGGTCGGTGAACGCGTCCGCACGTGGGTCACTTCCTCGGTTTTTCCTGTTCCGAAAGCCACCTAAACCCAGCCGCATTTCCCCTCCGTCGTCTTCCGATCCTTAATTTTGATTCCCGAATTCACACCACAGACACCGAAGCAGAATGGATCCCCGACGCCTGCCCACCCGGTACAAAGCGGCTGCGTCGGCCGAGCGCGCGTAGGGCAGGCGCGGCCGCCCCC